CATGGCACAATTCTTCCAGATCCTCCTGCCTGTGTCCGTCTGTCCTTCCTCCCTCTCAGCCACAATTTGTTCCCTCCGTGATGGCAGGTACTATAGACCCGCTCACCCCAAACCTTGAGCTGCCCCCTGCCTACTAGGGAGACCCTGCTGAACTTCTCACAGTTTTATCTGCTTCTGAAGTCAGTGTTCTTTCTTTCTCTAGAAAGGGATCTGTTTACAGGGCCTGAAGCCTTCTTTTAAGAGTCCTGGTCTGGGTTCCATTGCAGGCTTTCTCACCTGGCTGTGATGTTAGAGAAGTTTTTGACTCTAAAATAAATGGAGTGGTAGAAGCCCCCTTCTGGGCTGGTTGTTTAGAGGACTGCACAGCTTGTCTAGAGTCATATGGACTCCATAAATGGGGGGAGGGAATGTTGTGTATTATTTATTGTTATTTTTATTAACATTATTCTTCTATCCTGGCCTTGTCTCATGATTGTACTATTTTAACTTTTCTCTCGTAAGATTTGGTTCCTTTTTTTTTTTTAAGTTTCTTTCTGTTTCCTGCATAAATCATTTTTCTTTGATTTTCGACTCTATTTTTAGTGCCTCTCTCTGATATTTGGTTCCTTTTTTTGAAGTTTCTTTCTGTTTCTTGCCTTTTCTGTTTTCCCTGAATTCCTTTGTCTTTCTTTGTCTCTTTGTTTTGGTCTTTTTTTTTTTTTTTTTTTAGTGTGAAAAGTTTTCCTCAAATGTTTGTTGTTCTTTGTCTTCAGGTTCATAGTAAACAATGAGACACTAAAGGTATGAGGGAGGCTTACAGGTCAGCCTCCAGGAGGGCACCCAGTGATTCTCACCTCCTGTGTACCTGTACCTCCTTTGTGCTTCTCTCCTATATTGACTAGAAAAGTCTGTGTCACCAACACAATATTGCAGAAATGATGGTGTGTGACTTCAAAGGCAGATCATAAAAGACATGACAGCTTCCTCTTGCTCCAGGGAATGCCGACTGCCATGATGTGAGGATACTCAAGCAACCTTATAGGCAAGTCCATGTGGGGAAGAAACCAGGCCTCTTTCCAGTAAACAACAACTCCTTGCCAGGTGTGGGAGTGCGCCATCTTAGCAATAGATCCTCCCACTCCTGTCAAACCTTGAACTGACCACAATTTAAGTCAGCATTTTGACTGCAACCTCATGGGAATCCCTGAGCCAGAGCCACTCAGGTAGGCATGCCAGAATGCTTACCTATAGAAACTGAGATGATGTTTTCTTGTTTTGTTTTAGGTCACTGCCTCATGAGGTGATTTATAATACAGTTATAAAGTAGTACAGGAAGGGGAGTTGGGTGACTGGATTAGAGGAGGGAATCTGGATAGCTAACTGCTCATCAGCTGAACATTCAATCACTCTTGGGTTTAACCCTACCTTGTACCCCCTGTTTAGAGATACTTGGTCTTCCACATCCTGAAACTTTGTAGAGTTCTATCAAGCAAATCTGCACCCAATTTGTAGGAAGTAGGTTTCAATTTCTCTGTTCTGCAAAGTCAGTTATCATTTTTCCATCTGCTTTCACTTTCCCAGAATGTTATTGACATTGCTCATTTGCTGCCAACTCCTCTCTTGTTCTCTGTCCTTGTGGGTTTATATTGTTGGTTTTAATTTACTGTTATTTAGTAGGGTGTGGGAGAGGGCAGAGCTAATGTGTTCAATCTGGCACATTTATTCCAAAGTCAGAGGTGATCTTTCACCATCTGGAAGACCTCCTGGACTGCTGAAGACCACAGCTCTGGCTACTCTGCTTCTAGAAGCTTGATTGGGTGGGCAAAACGAGCTGAGATTTGTTTGAAGGACCTAGCAGGCCCAGGAATTTCTATACACCCTTGGTGTTGTAGTGTAGGCGATGACTTAGGGAGGGAGAAGAGGAGCAGGTCTTCAAGGAGGAGCATGTAAGATGCTTGAAGGGCTGGCTCCTCCAGCCCTTCAAGGAGGAGGATGTAAGATGACTGAAAGGAGAGGCCTGAACAGATGCGAAGAAGAAAGCCATGTAATCAGGAGCAGGTTGAAACCTAAAGTGTAGAAAGGGCATATGAAATGATTGTAAGCATGTGCTAGAACTCAGATCAGGGTGCCTGATATTCAAGGTAGACCAAGTCTTCAGAAAGTATAATCCTCTACTTCTACAGAAGATAAGGAAGGAAAAACCAATTGTATATAACACATTTCAAGTATTTTTGTAGGTGCATGAATTAAAGCATTGTGTATTTCACTTAAGTACATGTTAACTTTAAATAGGGTTCCTAGACCAAGTAGACCAATCTGATGTATTTTTCCTTTTCTTTGGGGTTTTTCCCTTCATTCCCAAACTTCAGTAGAAAGGGGTAAGTGAGCTGCAAATAAACACCACTCTTGGGCAGTGTTGGTGCTTCGATTGTGTTCCCCTTTAGTGTGGTATTGGCTATTCTTGGTGGTTAGCCTCTCTATATAAGCTTTAGAATCAGTCATAGCCACAAAATAACTTGCTGAGAGTTTTATTGGGACTGTGTTCAATCTACAGACCAGTTGGGATAACTGACATATTGATGATAATAAGTCTTCCTATACATGATCAGGAAGCAATTCTCATTAATTTTTTTCTGTTTCTTCCTCAGAGTTTTGTGGTTTTCTTTATTGATAGCGCATATTTTGTTAGATTTATACCTATTTCATCTTGGAGAGTACATATAAAATGGTATTGTGGTTTTAATTTCAATTCCACTAATACATTGCTGGTATTTAGGTTAAGTGATTCACTTTCATAGACCCTGTATCCTGCAACCTTACTCTAATAACTTATTGCAGGGTTTTTTGTCGGTTCTTTCAGATTTTCTACGTAGACAATCATATCACTACTGACAAAGGTAGTTTTATATCTTCCTTCCCAATAGGTTTATTTTTATTTCTTTTTTTCTGTTTTTTTGTGGTGGGGGGGTCTTAAGATTTTATCTGAATAGGAGTGATGAGAGGAAAGAGGAAATATCCTTGCTTTGTGCTTGTTCTTTTTGGGAAAGTTTAGTATCTCACCATTAAGTATCATGTTAGGTGTAGGGTTTTTTTTATAGATATTCTTTATCAAGTTAAGGAAGTTCTCCTATCTTCTGAGCTTACTGAGAGCTTTTATCATGAATAAGTGTTAGATTTTGTCAAGTGCCTTTCCTGCATCTATTGATATGATCATGTGGTTTTTCTTCTTTAACCTATTCATGTGATGGATTACATTAACTGGATTTCCAATACTGAACCAGCCTTACATAACTGAGATAAATCCCTCTTGGTCATGGGGTACAATTATTTTTATCCATTGTTGCATTTCATTTGTTAATATTTTGTAGTGAATTTTTGCACATATTCATGAGAGACATTGGTCTGCAGTTTTCTTACAATGTCTTTCTCATTATCTGGTATTAGGGTAATACTGCTCTCCTGGAATAACTTAGAGTATTACTCTGCTTCTGGAAAAAAATGTAGAAAATTGATTTAATTTCTTCCTTAAATATTTGAAAATATCACTAGTGTACATATCTGCACTTGATACTTTCTATTTGGAAAGGTTATTAATTGTTGATTCCATTTCTTTAATAGTTATATACTTCTTCAAATTATATGTTTTCTTATGGATCACACAGGCTTTGATAAATTATTTTTAAATTAGTTCAAAATATTTCTGTATGTCTTTTGAGGTTACTTCTTTGGTCCTTGTGTTTTTCAGAAGTGTATTATTTAATCTCCAAGTATTTGGGGATTTTCTAGCTATCTTTCTGTTCAAGTTTAATTCCACTTGTTTGAAAGCTTACATTGTAAGATTACTATTCTTTTAAAGTTGTTAAGATGTATGAACCAGAGTATAGTCTATCTTGATGTATGCTTCATAGGCGCTTGAGAAGAACATGTATTCTACAGTTCTTAGATTACTTCTAAGGTGAAGTAATCTCTGCATTATCAGTTATACCCAGTTAATTATATCCTGTTGAGTTCAAATGTTTTTATGCTTTTACAAAGAGAATATATTCATGAATGTTTGTACTTGTTATCTCTACAAAATAACAATGCAACAAAACAAAAACAATGGTTACACAAAAACAATGTTAAAAACATTAATGGACCAGGGTGGGGAATATTTGTGGAGTGCAGTCTTGTGATCATTGCCACAGACTCATCTAGTCACTGTCATCCATGCCAATCCAGGTGAGGGCATGGTAATCATAGCAACCCAAAGCCTTGGCTCCACTGCACTGACCACACTCAGTGGAAGGAAAGTGCCACTGGGTGAGCTTGGGCTGGGAAGAGGGTGATGGAATTGCATCTGTGAAACCTTCCTGGAGATGACTGAAGTACAGCCAAGCCTGCTCAACCACGATCATAGTACGAGGCATGAAGTTTGCATTCAAGCTTTAGGTTTGTTTATTTGATTGGGTGATTGAAGACTTACATCACATTTGCTTGTGTTTTTGGCTGGGTTCTAAGCATGCCAGTTCACAGAACCAAAGGTACCTACCAGAGAAAAGGAAGAAATCACAGATGAAATTATATTCCCAGCCTTCTCTTAGGCAGCAGTCATTGAACAGAGAACACTTCTTCGAGGTATTTTACTTGTTATACCACTCCTGCTTTCCTAAAGAAGATAGGCTGTATTAAATCTCAAGTTCAAGAGGAACCTATATCGATCAAAAAAGGCCTAATAGATGAGTTTTGAAAGTTGAATGAGAATAACCTATTACTACGAATGATTCTACCCCGGATTCTGTCAGTAGTTCTCTCCTTTGTCCCTTTCCTTAGGATAACTCACTCTCTTCACGTGGAAGGAGTCCACTATAAGGAGGGAATCTTTGACTTACTAAATTTGAGAGTGAGGTGCTGGAGAAGTCTGTGGTGCTCTTTTCCACTTTGTTAATATGTGCATATGATTTCATCAAGGTATTCAAAATTAGTTTCCGGTTACCAACCACAGAAAAACTTGATATTATAAGTCGAGGAGGCATGAAAGATTAGCTTTATTTTTTTAACATTAATTTATTTATGCATACAAGAATTGGGGTGTCGGCCAGAGGTTGGGGGGTGAGACGATTCACCAGAGAGAATGGGGAGCAAAACAGGCAGATCCACTGAAATACACTGCTGAGGGGGGCAGCAGGCGAGACAGGAGAGGTCTGTTGTGCCATGTGGGTTGCTCCCTGGTTGGCTGGGGATCAAACTCATGCTGTAGTGGTGGGCAGTAGCTTGATAACGCTGTCTTTAACCCCTGTGTCACCAGGGAGGCCTGAAAGGTTAACATCAAGACAAACAAATGGGGGAGGAGGCACAGGAATAGATATGTGTGTTTGTGTACATATCCTAGAGAATCATGATAAAATGTCCATTATCTCACTTACAGGAGGTTAGAAGTACAAATAAATTAGAAAGGACTTCTCAATAATTAAAGTTATGATAGTCTAGAATACTCTGAAAATGTGATTAGCTCAATATTGGACTGATGTTGTGAGACAAAGAGTAAAGGCTACGTGTATGCATACATGACTTTCTGGAAATGTGTTAATTTATTATGGAGGCAGTGATGTCATTGGTAAGGACAAAGCTATAAAAAAAATCCAGTTTACATACTTGTACATAATAAACTTATTATCCACATGGACCAAAAAAGTTTCATAAATCCGTCACTATGCTCTCATGTTGTACACAAATGTATCTGGAGGAGTGAGGACTTTTATTATAATAATATGACACTTGTCAGTGAATAAATTTCTCTGATCACTTGTGTAACTTTCAACTGCTATATTCAAAAGCAGTTGCTTTACTAAATCTGTAAAACATTCTATTGTTTTAAGAGGAGAGTTCAAATGTCTGTGCTTGGGAAAGAAGACCAACATTTTAAACAGATGTTTGCTAAGAGGAGTAGTTATTTTGTGAACCTGTCAATTACAATAGTTAGAGAATATAATTTCCCTTTGAAAATGCTTTCCAAAGTCTGTGGAAAATTAACTTGCTGACTGTCTTCTTCTAACAAGTCATTAATTTATAGTCTTTCCAAACACATTTGCCTAGACCCAGAAGTAACTAGTTAATTTTTCTATCTCCTCATAGAATGGTGGCCCAGATGTGGCTGCCAAAGGCCAGAGGATGCACTTGACACATTCCTCATAGTCCCTCTATGTATCTAGATTTACCCAGAAGTCACAAAATACAAAAAAATATTTTTACTTGGCACCATAATGTTTATTTGGGATGAAGCACTGCTTATCTGGTGGCCTCTTGTAAGTACAAATACATCTGAGGGCATGTGATCAGATTGCTGACTCATCAGCTTGCTTTCCTTAATAAATTCCAAGATGATGGGTTGAGAAGGCAAGATTGCTTTTTGGATAATTGTCAGTGAAAGGAGAAAAGGGAAATTTTGACATTTGTATCAATTAGAATTAGATTTAGCAGCTTGGAAAAGAAAACCTAAAGACAGGAATGGCTTAAACATGAACCTGTTCCTCGCTTGTGTGGAGAAGTTCAGAGGCAGGCATCCAAGGAGGGTAGGCTCTAGACTCCCTCTGTATTTTTGGGGTTCCATCCTATTATATGGCTTCCACCCCCAAGGTTGCCTCATGTTCCAGGATGGGCTGCAGAAAAGAGAAGCCATGATTGTAAGAGGCTCCATCCTGCTGAGCCAGCTCCCTTTAGACTGACTTCTTTGAAGTCCCAAGAACTCATCTTTTTGGCCAGAGGCAAGTCACATGGCCACAGCTAGCAGCAGAGGAGGCTGGGAAATCTGTATCTTATTTTTGGTTGCCATGTGCACAGTCAACAATTGGAGCAAGTGAAGAGGAAGGAGGGTGTTCAGAAAGCAGGGACACTGGGGGTGGCAACTAGCCAACTCTGTTTGGCAAAAGAGGACAGTCACAGTTGGACTTAAAATTACATCAGGCTGAGGTTGTTCCAGACTTTCAAGAAGATGTCTGCTTTTTCTAGACTTCTTCATCTAGGCGTTTTCTGGGTGGAGGACAATCCTAAGGGCCAGGGGTGCCTGGTTCTGGCAAGTGTGTTTATTTTTCCAGAGACCTCAGGCCTAAAATCAACACAAAGGCACAAAATACGCCGTGCCTGCCCATGCAGACCACACTGTGCAGTGATGACCCAGAGGGCCAGGCCAGGGGCTGTCCTTCCCCAGAGGTTTGTAACTGGGAAGGTGGCTTAGATCAATGTTTCTCAAACTGCCTATTTTCCAGTGCTGCTCCTGGGATGACCGCAGGAGTTCAGCAGTACCCCAGCTTATCCCTTCCTGCTTTGAGGAGTCCTCTGACTTGAGATGTTACTTTGCTTTCACAGTGTTTTGCGTGTTGTTCTCAGGTTCTGGGGAAAGGGAAGAGATCATCCTGCTGATACAGCCAAATCCATTAAGACAAAATCCTTAAAGTTTTCACTTGTGGTTTCAAATGATGTTTTAAAATGTGTGGGTGTTGTGTAGCGCCTGAGAGCATTTGTTACAGGGATAAGCTTTCATTATAATGATATTGGTGGCAAAGATACCTGACTGGGCAGACAGTACATCAATTGATGATAAAAAATATAATGCCACAATTTAAAAGCCTTCTTTTATAATTTACATATCCTAAAATGCACAGCTTCAAATGTATATTTGCTTGAGTTGTAACAAATGCCTGCACTTGAGTAATCACCTCCTTAATGAAGATATAGAGCACTCCCATCACCCCCAGAATGTCCCCTCTTATCCTTTTCTAGGGAACCCTGCTCCAAGTGTTACTCTATGGTCATACCTCAGATTTTTTTCTAGGCCTTCTCTAGAAAAGTTCTCAAACCTCATATAAACAAAATCACATAATATGTACATATTCTTTTGGTTTGGGTTGCTTTTGTTCAATCTTGAGAATTATCCATGATGTCTTTTCAGTAGTTGATGCCTTTGATTACGCAGCAGAACTCCACTGGAAGAATACACGCATGCAAACTTGTTAATCCATTAATAGAGGCTTTTATGCAGGGAGCATTCACCACTGGCAAACATGCCAAGCACACCCCAGACCATATCTCAGAATAACCGGAGAAGAGTAGGGGATTTTGTGATTCCCCTACTCTTCTATTAGCTGGATGTTATTAGCACCTGATTCTGTCCATCATCCTGTGTGGTCTCGATGGGAGGCAAACTGCCAGAAATCAGATCCTCCTTCATGATGGAGGCACAGCCTGGGTTGGGGGGGGGGGGGATGACCTTGGCCTGACCAGTCCCCTGTTCTCTTCAGGGGCACTGGGGCCCTAAGGGAGTGACCTAGTCAGTGGAAACTGCAACATGCAAAGTGGAGACTCTTGCTGGGCGGCCTCTGCCATGGCTCTCAACTGACCTTGAGAGCATCCTAGCATCTAGTCCATTTCCTTTCCTTCCATTAATTCCAAAGACTTCCCTTTTGTTTAATTCAGCCATCTTGATTGCTGAGTATTCCCTTCACTGTACTGATAAGGTTCAGGGGCCCTCCTGGGGTCCCAAGGGCTACAACTGGATGACAGGGTGGGAACGAGCACCTGGTCAATATCTGCCCAAGGAGACACAACGTCAAAGCTGACACTGGCAACACCAGCCTCTTTCCTACCCTGTGACTTTACTTCCATCCCAGGTGACTAGGAGGGCACAGGTGATGAGGAAAAAAGCACAGATTCCCCCTTCACAGCCTCCACTTCTCTCGACAAAGCCAACCAGTTCATACCTCTGCCCTCTCCCACCCACTGAATCCTTGATTTAACCCACTCACCTCTCCATTTCTCCCTCCTTCAGATCAGAGGGAAATCCACAAATCCACCCCAGAACACGTGGTACAATCTTCATGCCTTTCTGTGGCTTAGCGAACATTACTCTTAAACCCTTATTCTGATCTTTGTTTCATGTTTACAGAAGTGGATTCCTTTTATGCCTTTCCCCTGACAGGAATAATCCCTTTGGAATTTAAGCTTTTAAAGAGGAGCTCCTTGGATTATTTGAAAAGCAGCCTGCCTCCTCCTACAAAGAGGCGGGGGTCTGGAGCTGGCCCTGGCAGGCTAGGGAGCCACACGTGGGGATGTTTGTATGAACAAACCTAACGAACCAGCCTAGGGAAAGGAGCTTTCAGCCCACAGCTTGGATCTGGCCTCTCCCTTCCCCCAGGCCCACTTCCATTTTGGCTAGTCAGCACCGAAGGCAACCTGGAGAGTGAAGAAAGGGGGGCTGAGGGGAAGCTGTCAAAAGATGGGGTGGGCCAAACAGACGACAGAGAACTGTCATCTGCAGCCCCAGGGGAGCGAAGATGAGGTTGAGGCCAGAGTCTGCCCTCCTGGGTCAGGGCCACTTGTTTTCAACTTTTCCTGGATATTAAAATGTGAGGACATCCTAGAGGAGGATTAAAGTGTGTGATGGTGTCACTCACTGCCCAGATGCCTCCAGTGAGTGCCTTTCACCCTCCCAGGGGACGACAGCCCCTTCGGAGGCCACTTCAGCTGCTGAGGTCACCTCAACCAAGACAATGCCCTTCTCGGGGTGGCCACATCCAGTGACTGAGTGTGGCAGGGATACAAAGGCCTGACTGATTTGGCTCAACTCGGGACAGTGCTGAAAGGCGAAATGTCGTTTGAGGGTCTGTGTCTCAGCACTGTTTCTTGTTGCCCGTCACTCTCCTCCGCAGTGGTTGGCCAAGGCTGCTCCCCTAATAAGCAAGCAGCAAGCGTCCTTCTTGCAAACTCTTCCTGGGGAGCCCAACCTTAGGGACAGACATGGTTGACATACAAGTTAAAACTCCCAACACATAGAAATACAATGTACTGTAGCTGCACTTTCACAGAACAGTTATGAAATTGTTTTAATGTTGACTCACTGCTTACGGCATCAGTGAATTCCTGCAATCCTGGGTGCGTGTCTTTACGTATCTTGTGTAGAAATCAAAAGTCCTGTGAGGTAGTTGCTATTATATCCCATTTTATATGTGAGGCAACCCAGGTTCAAAGAGGACAAATAACTTGCCTAAGGTAGCCAGGTAGCCAGGTAAGGTAGGTTCCAGAATCTCTACTCTCAGGCACAACATTCAATGTTATCCTTCCCTCACATACCTCTGGAGTCTCTTTCAACAGGGCTGGGGCTTGAGGTCAAGGATTGTTTCTCAATCTTAAACATTGTCTAGGTCAGGAAGGTAAAAACTAAGTATAAAAATGTGAGAGAAAAAGAAGAGCATGAACTTGTCCCATCTCACAGTAAAAGTTTTTACAGTTAAAAACATGACTCTCATAGAAATATGAGTATATGTCTAACTTTTAACTGATTGTATTAGTTCTACTACAACAAATTACCACAAACCAGATGGCTTAAGACAATAGAAATGTATTCTCTCACATTCTGGAAGCTGGAAATCCAAAATCCAGCCATCAACAGGACCACACACCCCCGCAAAGGCTCTTGGGGAAAACCCGTCCTTGCCTATGAGCTTCTGGTGGCTGTCTCATCCCAGAGCCTTTGGGCTTGTGACCACATCTCTCTTCTTCCTGCCTCTGCCTTTGTATCCCCTCCTCCTCTGTCTTCTCCTCTCCTAAGGGCTTGTCATTGGCTTTAAGGTCTACTCAAGCCATCCAAAATGATCATATCTCAAGATTCTTAGTTACAGCTGCAAACTTTTCCTAATAAGCTGATATTCACAGTTCCAGGGATCTGGAAAAGACATCTCTTGGGGGCCACTATTCAATCCACTACATTCTGATGAGGGAGCCAGGAGACTGGTAAAGTTAATTCAAAGGAAAGTTTGAAAAACAGGTTTATGTAGACAGTTGGCAAAGGCATGGTGCAGTAACTTTGCTCAGGAGTCAAATTGAATGGGTAATGTCTCACAGAGTGATAAGACCAAGGTTAGCTTTTCCTGCAGACAGAAATCCATTGGAACAAAAATCTAAGCTAGCATGTGACTGCATAGATCATCCTAGTCAATAGAAAATAAGTTAAAGTGCATCTCTTAGACTAGAACTTTCTGCAGTGATGGAATATTCTCTATCTGTGCTGTCCAATCCAGCAGCCAGATACATGTAGCTAAAGAGCACTTGGAATGTGGCTATTACACCTGAAAACTGAAGGTTTTTATTTAATTTTAATTGTAATTAAGGTTTAAATATAATAGCCACAGGTGGTTAGTGACTATAGTGTTAGGTGGTACAGCCCCAGAGCATGGAATAATCCCTAGCAGGGCCCAATAGACAATGCTTTGCTGTGACAGAAAGAATATGCTGTTGCCTTTTCCTCAAATTTTTGTGTTTTCTTAAGACATTAACAGTAGACCTGAGGCTGAACCAACGATGGGGAGAGGTGCGAACTGTGGCCAACTGGTATTTCAAGTCTGCACAATAAGGAAAGCACTTTGTTGAGTTCTAATCAAGCACTGCCCTGCTGCCCCAACTGTTCATTTGCCAGAAGCTTTTAGGGGAACTTTTATGCAAAATATCTTAATATTTTGAGACTGGCTAATTGCTGAGCTTTGCTCTAGGAGAACTTGGCTTTGCTTACTTACCTCTCACAACTTGTTTTATTTCTAGCTATTTTTGTTAATATGCCACACCATCCAGCACTATACCTAACACATCCTCGACACCTCCTCCCAGTGATACAATTCATTTGGTTCAACAAGCATTTATTGAGCATCTGCTATAGTTCAGGGATTGGCTAACAGGCAGGTTGTTATAGGTGTGAATAAGACATCACTCACCCTTATTCTCATGGGCTTCCAGCATGATATGACATAAGACAAAGTACTTTATAAAGTGCAGTGATAGAGGGGAGCACCAGTGTTCTGAGAATCAGGGTACACCTGGCTCCAATTGAGGATCTAGGGAAAGAGAAGATGACAACTAAGCTAAACCCTAAGAGTTGCCCAGTAAAAGGAGATTTAAAGGGCATCCTAAGCAGTGGCATCTGAGAGGACAGAAGATGTGATTCTGGGCACAGCACAGCATATGGGGGAAACCAGAAGTAGTCAACATCACTGAAGTTTAAAATCAGGCCACTAGAAGTGAAGAAAGAGAGGAAGCAAGGGTCAAATCATAAAAGATATTCTAGTATATGATGTGAAGGATGTTTATCACTGACTTACCAAGACACTGGAGTGAATGAGTAGATGAACCTTCATTGAACAAATAGTCTTGAGTAGATAGCAGTGGAGACACTGATGATACAGGCAATTAAAATAAGATCTTTCTGCTCCTGGGGTTTACCTGTACCTAGATGAGATAAATTATAAACAAGTGAATAAATGCATAAGTAAGGTGGTATTCTAGATAAAACTTTTCAGGCTTGAACTAGAGGAAAGAAGAATGTGAGAGAGAATGTTGAGAGCTAGGAGGGGGTTCATTTGGTAGCTGCTCTGAAAAGGTAGTATTTGATTGGAATCTGATGGTTCCAAGAAGGAACCATCCATATAATGACCCAAATTCTGTAAGGATAACATTCTAGGTCTGTCCCTAACTCAAGAATCATGTAATAACATTTTTTATCGCCAAATTTTAAAAATCTACATAGGAAAATAATTAAAGAGCATTTGAAAACAGAAGGGAGAAAAAACAATCTGTAATCTTACTACCTTAATACTTCTTCTATTTTTAGTTGCGTATATCCCCCTCAATCTGTGTTTCCATGCATATGTATTTTATATAATTGATATAATCAACTATGTACAAATTATAATCAGCCCTTTCACCCAACATTATAAGTATTTTTTACAATAACCATAGTCCTGACTACTATAATTTTCAATTTCTGCATTATTGTCCATTCAGTGGGCCTAAGACAGGGTATTTTTCCTCTCCTCTGTCACACATTTAGACTGTTGTACAAATTTTCCTGCTTATGAGTATAAACATCTTTATACACACACATTTTTCATCTTCTTTCAAATAACTTTCTTAGATAAATTTCCTGAAAATGAGTCTTGTGTCAAAGGGAATACTTTGGATACAAGTTGCCAAATTGTTTCCAAAAGAGGTAGCTCTGATGGCCTAGGGGTTAAGTCTCAGTGCTATCACCACTACTGCCTGAGTTCGATCCCTGCCAGGGAGCTGACCCACATATGGCACAGCAGACCTCTCCTGTCTCGCCTGTTGGTCCCCTCAGCAGTATATTTCAGTAAATCCACCTGTCCTGCTCCATATTCTGTCTCGAGTGAATCTTTCACCCCGGGACCTCTGTCCTAAACCCCAGTTCTTCCAAGCAAAAAATAAAACTATTTTTTTTTTAAGGGGAGGGGATAGGGAAGAAGATTGTGTATATGTATGTGTGCGTGTGTGCATGTTTGTGTAAGAATATCAGCAGGCAGACCTATAAGCCATCCTGTTCTGTGAGAGTAGAGTCCTGGTGTGCTTTGCTCAGTATTATGTGCAGTGCCTGGCACACAAGAGCTCAGAAAAGGAATGAGTGAATGACTTTGAAACATAGGTTCTTCAGCTCAAGATTTGTAGTTGAATCTGCTGATGTGCTCCAGAATATTGCACATCATTCTGCTTTTGTAGATTTGACTTTTGATTAGAAAAACAAATACTAAATAGATGCTTAAGGAAATTGGAAATTAAGCTCAGCACATGTCCCAGCCTTCCCCTCCAAGTTCCTAGAAAAGACTTAGAAGATACCTATGTCTTAGATTATATACCCATCTATACATGCATATGTTTACACACCCTGTTCAGTCCCTCACCCTATTCCCCAGACCCAGGCCATGGTAAATAAACACAGGCATATCTTGATTTATTGCACTTCACTTAGTGTTTTGTAGATGATGTGGGTTTTTTTTTTTTTTCTATATTGAAGGTTTGTGGCAACACTGCATCCAGCAGGTTCATTGCTGCCATTTTGCCAACAGTGTGTTCTTACTTCATGTCCCTGTGTCATATGTTGGTAATTCTCACAATATTTCAGTCTTTTTCATTATTATTATATCTGCTTCCATCATTGGTGTTACTATTGTAATTGTCTTGGGGCGCTAGGAAACATACCCACTTAAGATGTCAAATTTATGTGTGCTGACTGCCCATCCAGCTGGCCTTTGCCCAGTTCCTCTGCCTCCCTCTGGACTCCCTGAGACACAATAATATAAAAATTAGGTCAGCAAGTAACCCTAATACTAGGGTTCAAGTGAAAGGAAGATATGCATGTCCCTCACTTTAAATCAGAAACTAGAGATGATTATGATTAATGAGGGAGGCCTGTCAGTGCTGAAGTGGTCTGAAAGCTGGGGCCCTTGCATCAAGCAGCTAACTTGTGAATGCAAAAGAAAATTTCCTAAAGGAGATTAAAAGTGCTATTCCAGTGAGCCTACAAATGATAAGAAAAGCAAAAAATGCCCCAATGCTGACTTGGGGAAAGTTTCAGTAGTCTCAATAATATAACATCAAACCAGCCACAACATTCCCTTCAGCCAAAGCTTGATTTAGAACAAGGTCCTAAGCACTTCAATTCTGAGACTGAGAGAGGTGAGAAGGCTGCAGAAGAAAAGTTTGAAGCTCTAGCAGAGATTGGTTCCTGAGATTGTTTAAGGAAAGAAGCCATCTTTATAACAAAAAAAAGTGCAAGGTGAAGCAGTAAGAGCTAATGGAGAAGCTGAGTAAATAATCCAGGAATCCAGCCAAAGTCATTGATGAAGATGGTGACACTGAACAGATTTTTAAAGTAGATGAAACAGGCTTCTGTTGGAAGAAGATGCCATCTAGGGCTTTGATAGCTAAAAAAGCAGAAGTCATGATTGACTTCAGAATTTCAAAACATAGGCTTGTTAGGATTTAATGTGACTGGTGACTTGAAGACAGTGCTCATTTACCATTCCAAAAATCTAGTGCCCTTAAATTATGCTAAATCTACTCTCTGTGCACACTATAAATGGAAAACAAAGCCTGGATGATAGCACATCTGCTCACAACATGGTTTACTGAATATTTTAATTCCGCTGTTAAGAGCCACTACTCGGACAAAAAGATTCCTTTCAAAATATGACAGTTTGGGGCCTCCCTGGTGGCGCAAGGGGTTAAGACGCAACCTTTGAAGCTAACTGCAGCCACTGCAGCAGAAGTTCGGTCCCCGACCAGGGAGCAACCCACATGGCATAGCAGACTTCTCCTGGCTTACCTGCTGCTCCCCTTAGCAGTGTATTTCAGTCAATCTGCCTGTTCTGTTCCCCACTCTGTCTCTGGTTAACCCTGTCACCCCCATACCTCTGGCCTGTACCCCAGCTCTTGTATGCATAAAAATAAATCTTTTTTTTTTTTAAAAAAAAAAGACAGTTCTTTGAACTTGCACCTGGTTACTCAAGGGGACCAATGGAGTGTACAGGAGATAAATGCTGTCTCCAGGCTGCTGACACAATATCCATTCTGCAGCCCATGAGTCCAGGATTAATTGCAACTTTCAAGTTTTATTATTTAAGAAATATACTTTATAAGGCTATAGCTGCCACACATAATGACTCCTCTATTACATCTGGGCAAAGTGAACTGAGAACCTGGAAAGGAGTCGCTGTTCTAGATGCCACTAAGAAGGCTGTGATTCATGGGAGGAGGTCAAAATACCCACATTCACAGGCATTTGAAGAAGTTAATTCCAACTTGATTACCTTGAGAGATTCGTGATCTCAGTGGAGGAAGTGACTGCAGATGTGGCCTCGATGGCAGAAGAGCTAGGACTATGGTAGAAGGGGTAGAGGGGAGTAGGGGAGGGAAGAGGGGTAGCTGCCCTGCCGTGGTCTGAAGATGAAACTTGAACTGAGGAGGGGTTACCTCTTCAGGATGAGTGAAGAAAGCAGCTTCTTGAGATGGAAATTACACCTTTTGAAGATGCTGTGAATGTCATTTAAATGACAACAAACAACTTAGAATGTCAGGTAAACTCAATAGCTAAAGCAGGGAGGATGAGAAAGTCAACTCTGATTTTAAAAGAAACTCAATGCCATCCATTGAGCTAAATGCCATCCAACTGCCTCACATGCTACAGAGAAATCTTTTGTGAAAGCAAGAGTTGATCGGTGAGGCAAATTTCACTGATAGTTTCTTTTAAGAAATTGCCACAGCCACACAATCCTTTAGCTACCACCGGCATGATCAGTCATCAGCCCTGAACATGGGGCCAGACCCTCCACCAACAAGAAGACTATCACTCACTGAAGCCTCACAGGATGGCTAGCATTTTTTAGCAATAAGTATTTCTAAACTCAGATGTGTACATTGCCCTTTTTAAACATTAGCTATTGCACACTGACTAAACTACTGCGTAGCGTAAACATAACTTTTACATGACTGCGAAACTAAAACCCTTCATGTGATTCACTTTATTGGGATATTGACTTTATCATGGTGCCTCATGCCCAGTATATCCAAGCACAGTATATCCGAGCTGTGCCCATCAAGTGCTCACAGACAGCCCTGTGGGGCCTCAGGTGAAAGATAAGCAGTCTTCACTTAGGTTCTTATAAACAGCCGCTGAGATAAAAATTGTGGAAAGCTGATGATCAGGAAATACTCCCAGAAAGAATGGGCCAGAGAGTAAGGAAGTGGGACCAGGAAGGGGGGCAGCCAAGGGTGTGAAAGCAGAGTCCCACAGAGGCTTAATGTGGGGAGCTCTTACTGTGGGGCACTTCAGGTCGCACAGAGAAGTGTCCCAGCAAAGGGTAAGGGGCCAGGAGGGTTTAAGTCCCCTGTGCCTATCAGCACATAAATGCCCCAGGGACCAAAATTCCCTTCCTCCACTCTTGGTGTGCACTGGAAAGAGTGGGCCAGCAAGCTGAGGGCCTGCCTGGGATAGAGACATGGATGCTGTCTGTCATGAATAAAATCTTCAGGAGCCTGTTTAGAAAAAAATGGGAAAAAGATTTGAGGGCAGGTGGATGGAGCCCTGCCAGCTCCTGCTTCAAGCTCTCAATGTGAAAAAGAACCTCATGAAAAGAGATATCAAACTTAACCAATGAGGGCCTCTCTGGTGGTGCAGGGGTTAAAGTCTCAGCACTATCAAGCTATCCCCAGCCACTGCAGCATCCTGGCCAGGGAGCTACCTACATGGCACAGCAGACCTCTCCTGTCTCGCCTGCTGCTCTCCTCAGCAGTGTATTTCAGTCACTCTGCCTGTTCTGCTCCCCACTCTGTCTCTGGTGGATCTTCTCACCCCCCACCTCTGGCCTGTACCCCAGTTCTTGTATGCGTAAATAAATAAAATAAATCAACTTAACCAATGAAAGAACAAACATTGA